TTAATTATTTTGCCTTTAGGTCAGTATGTAGATTTGGGACCTAATGAAATGATACTTCTTGCTTTTGAACACTAGGATTCTCAGGTTTCAAAGATCCTATCTTAAAATCATCTCATGTATTCCTCTCATCTTCCTCTCTGCAAGACTGTTATCTGTATGATCTGTGATTACCAAGAGTCTATCTTACTGAACTCCATCACACTCTCTGGATAATTTAGTCCACAGTACAACAACAATGAACTCCCCCGCAATCTGGCTGACCATTCAGAACCCTAATTGACCTATGAGATGATGTACATGACTTTTCTTAAACAGCTTAATGGTCCATCATTTAACAATAAACAGCATTAACTGATGAGCCACTGTGTCGGTTGCCATAATAACTTCGGGTTGATAATAAGTGACTTGATCTATTACTTATTGCTCAGCAGGTGTCCAAGTCCTCCCCAAGTCAATGTCAGCCCATTTCCTAATAATCCATCTGAAACTAGAGACTTGAAAGTTTTCCTGGCCAACTTTTCCACCTTAGGCAGGTAAACATTATCATTTTCTTTTTTCCATCATGCTCTTGCAGCAAACCTTAAAGAGTCATTATTGAAGTATTTGACTTTTACATGCCAGACAACCTGTTTTTGCTTTTCCCTCAAATCCAATGGGTGTTCTTGGCTGAAAGCAGTCTGCTCTGATGTGCCCTTGGGAGGTTTTTGCAGTAGGCAAACACTCTTTCTTCCAACACACTAATCATTATGAAAAGGTACACTATTCTGTTTAGGAATGACCAATACTAACATTAAATGATGTTTACAGGTCTCATTTTTTATCCACTGAAGGCAAGCATTATTTTTTTAAACCCCAACAAATGTGATTTTCATCCTGTAGAAATTTTTAAGACAGCTATTCCATCTTTACTAGAAATGTCCTTTAGTAATAAGCTAATATCCTGCAATCTTTAAAAAACTGAAGTGGGCGTCTCATCTTTGAAGGGCTGACATACGCACAACTTTCTCTAAGATTAAAAAAAAAGTGTTTGGCTTGTTAATAATGAAAGGAGAACATACTGTACAGTGAATCTTGGTCTCAGAAAGGATCCCTTTGAAACTCACATAAAACAAAATTACTTCCTTTCTGAAGCAGAGAAATAATGATAATGCATGAGATGCAAAAAAAAAAAAAAACAATAAGCAGTCACCATTATAGATATTTAAAGCATCTTGGATTTCTAAACACTCTTAGTTTACAAAATGGACAAGCAAGAATTTTTAATAAATGTTGGATTTGGCTCTAAGCTCAAAACCTACGTGTCTTAAACTTAAATCCCTATTCATTGATCATCTCTGATTTTAGTTCTGGGAAAAAAAAAAATCTCAACTAGAATTAGTTTTCCTGGAAATGTTCCTGGAGAGCATTGAATGCTCATAAATTGAAACAACGTTGAGAACAGGATATCTACCACAGCAAACATGGACACACCACACAAAATCTATTTTTAAAAATCACTGATAGGTGAAAGAACTCAAGGTAGCCCCCAACTGTCATTGTCTAGAAAAAAATATTTTGTGAGCCAAAGATTTTAACAGATACTCAACTTCTTAATTACAATGAAATTCCTTAAGAAAAGCAGACAAAAGGCTTATTGTTGTTTAAATTCAATTGATTTTGCCAAAGGGCTCTACCACTGTAGAGATATTACAATTGTTAAATTTTTATAAACATCTTTATAGTATGTGCTACTCAGGAAAAGACTATATTGACTCATAAATGCTTGGGAGAATTAGTTGCTTTATTTTTAGCAAGGACAGTTAAGAATAGTATTTTTTTACGTTTATAAAGTGTCTTTCAGACAAGCATATGAAAAAACCTACCCAAGCAACATCTTGCATTATTTTTCAATATTCACAGGTGGAAGGGGAAAAATAAATCAAACCAGACAATATTTTACACATGAGGAAATGAGACAATCAGAGGGATATAAGTATTAGATACCTTCTGGTTCCTCAAGGTAGAGCATGGCAAAGTTAACCCTTGATATTTAGGTGCTGAAGATGTAAAATAGGAAATCTGTTGAAGAGCAAGGAAGGAACAAAGATGAGAAGTGGTAGCTCAGGCCTGTGGGCTGCCCAGTGCTCTGGGGCAGGATGTAACAAAGTTTCCGCCTGAAAACATCTCCATCCCAAGTCCTCAAATCCCACCACAATATAGTCAGTCGGTCCTTTGACTTGAGCCTCTCATCTCCCTGGCATCTTCCTTTAAAACACAGCTCCTGCTCTGGGAAGACCCAATGGCCTCCTTCTCTTGCTCTCCACTTCATCATTATAATTAATAACATTTCTATTACTATCTCAAATTTACATGACAATTTAGAATTTACCAAACACATCGATCCATATTATCTCATTTAATCCATGCAACCTTATGAGGTATTATATTTCTACTTTAGAAACAAGTAATTGAGAGCCTCAAAGAGGTTAAGTACCTATGCAAAGTCTTATAAACTTTCTTTAACATGTAATATTATGCTTTCCACAAACAATCAGCTCAATAAACAGAGTCCCCATCATGTATCAGGCACTAAGCCACATCCATAAAACCAGACCTGCTCCCTTAGCCTGCCTACAAAATAAGAATACCTATAATGGGGCTGGGCATGGTGGTATAGACTGTAATCCCAGTGACCCAGGAGGCTGAGGCAGGAGAATGGCAAGTTCAAAGCCAGCCTCAGCAACTTAGTGAAACCCCCAACTCAAAACAAAAAATAAATAAAAATAAAAAGGACTGGAGTTGTGGCTCAGTGTTTAAGTGCCCCTGGGTTCAATCCCTGATACAACAACAAAAAAGAAAAAAAAAAAGAAAAGAAAAGAAAGAAAGAAGAATACCCATGAAGGCCCTAGGTAATTCATCAAGGAAAATAAAGAAAAGTAATTAATGAGGAAGTGATATGAAAACTGCAAAGAGAACAACATGAACAGTTGCTATTAGCACCTCACCTCACCGGAGCTGAGCTTGCCAGATGGCCCTGAACTTTTTAAAAGCAAAGGGCTGTGATGATTCTGAAGGTCAGATGATAGAGGTAGTGCTTTTAAGGGATAAGAGGGAGTAACAGAAAGACCAAACCTCATTTCATACATGATAATTAAGTCTCAGGCCCTCACTGGGAAACGACCTTTGGAGCACATCACTTTGTTGGCTGACACATCTCCAAGGCCTAAAGCAAAGCCTGAGGTAGGGTTGGGGCCAAACCAAACACTGTGGGATAAAAACACAAGTAAAAGAAGACCTCCAGGTTCTAACCAGGGGTAGGGGTGTGGCCAGTGGTAGAGTGCTTGCCCAGCCTGCATGAAGCCCTGGGTTCCATCCCCAGCACAGGAAGGAAGGAAGGAAGGAAGGAAGGAAGGAAGGAAGGAAGGAAGGACTGTAAAGGTTCTAGCCAGGTCTAGGGTAAGGTCTGAAGAAAACTGTCAAATTTAAAGGGTTTAGAATTCACAATTATATACCATATGAGGAAACAAATAAGAACATGCATTAGAATCAATGTATTTTTATTCATTCTAAGATACACACTGTTCTATCTGTGAAAGTGGAATGAAGCAATGAGATGATGGGTTATAAATGTCATTGTTATCTGTTCTTACAAATATGTCAAAGGATGTATCTTACAATTGAAGATAGCTTAGATTAAATTAATTAGATATTTTTGAATTACTTGTTTTTCAGGATGGTTCAAGAGAACGTTTTCCACTCATGCCACCTGACCAAGCTGTGTCTTACCTGCACAGGACTTGCAACCAGGCTGGCCCTCCCTCCCTCCCTCCCTCCCTCCACAATCAAGCGTGGTCCCGCAAGCCCGGTCAGTTCACATGCGCCGGACTGCAGCAGGCAGCTTCCCTACCCAGCCGCAGAGGGGCGATGATCAGACTACATTGCTGTCTGTTCACAACTCTTCTGGTTGGCTTCCCCTAAACTGGCTTGATTTCTTTTCTAAAAGCTTCCAGTTGCAGGCTTCCCCCTGGCAGTTACCTGCTTCAAGAAGGGCTTCCTAAGGCTGAGCTTTAAGAAACACACACGGAAGAGAGTGTGTCCTGACTCGTGTGCCCACTGCTATTGTCATGAATCTCTCTCTCACCTTCTCTGTCAGAGCTTAGTCTGTCTCGTTATCTGACCATAACCGAAAAATCACAGGGAGCCTGCCTAGCCTCATAATTTACTTTCAATAATAACTTCTGCTGCAAACACAAGTTTTATCTCTGAACTTTGACAACTTGAACCCATCACAACATGCGACAATTCCATGACGGTGCATGGGCACGTAACAGACCTGTCATAAGACGTAGTCCTGTTTGCCCTGACATAAGAGATCTCGTAGAAAATGTGATATTCACAATAAAGAAAATAGATCTAAAGCTCAGGAAACGTCAAAAGGAAATGCACCCACAAGTCTTTTTTAATAAAAACAACACTAAGAGGAAGAAAGAAATGTTAACCACACACAGAATTATGTGGAAAGAACTCCCAGGAACCACTTTGGTTTTCCATATCCAATCACTTCTAACACCATAGTATAAATTTCAAGTCATCTGATGCCAGGCCATAGCACTGTGTATATCACACACACACACACACACACACACACACACACACACACACTCCTTCCTGCAGACTGTGGATGAAAAATACAATTTCAGACCAAAAGCAACTGGTTTAAGCAAACACAACCAATGATCTTCATTTAACTTTTCCTTTTCCAAGCTTGATTCCCCCACCATTTTTCACAGACCAAATTTTATCAGCCTCTACTGGGGATCTTATCTAAGGCCAAACTGAATTTATTCTCAACATGCAAATTCAGTGTACTTCCTTGGACAGCAGAAACAGCCTGTGAGCTCCAAAGGATATCAGGCTGCTTCAAGATATCATTTTGATTCATTATGTTATTTAAAGAGACCCTGCAGCAAAGAGCCCCCAGGAGACCAGTTAAGCAAGAGACAAAGAACCAGTCAAGATACTTCATGATAAGATCCTTAAAAATTATCTTTAATTAATGCCAAATATGAACAGATCGTAAAGTGACAGAAGCAAGTAAAATTGCATAGATGAAAACTATGCGCATCAATTAGGTTCTCAATTCAAACATTCAATGTCCTCTACCTGACGTGTTAAACAGTTAGGGCAAGGAAGATGCACAGTGGGTTAGACACACATCCTTAACTCAAGGGGTAAGCAATTGGCAAATTCAAGAAATAAAATAGAGTTTTTCAGCTTAAATGGTTTGTTGTCCTGATGGTGCACTTCAAATTAATAAGACTTAATTTTTAACCTCCAAAATTCTTTAATACTAGAGGTATGTCCATGAAGAGATTCCATGTAGTCTACTTACAGCAGCATAAAAGGTCCCAAAACAGTGCACTGGAGAGTAGAAAGGGGCTTCCTGAAGTTTTGGAGAGGAGATAACTTTTGACCTGGAATATTCTTCGAGGGTTTTCTTGTTTTGTTTTGTGTGTTTTGTTCCTGACACCATTTCTTCTTCTTCTCCTCTGATTGGGGTACAAAACTTTTCTAGACTCCTTGAAGTTTCACATCATAAAAGTAAACTCCTAGTTAGCTCCTAAATGAAAATCACTGTGACTAGGGTTAATCTCCTTAAAGCTAATAGTCCTGAGGTCAGCAGGGCCTCACCCTTTACAAACACCCTAGACTTTCCCAGAAAGTTTGTGGTCATTTTGCCTGAGCAAAGAGACTGGCATTTGATCCCAAGGCTTCTAACCTGACATCAATACCCTGAATGAGTTTGCACAGTGACCCAAGAAATGGGACAGTTTTGGTTAACAATTCAGCCCCTGTTTACTTCTTTACAAAGTGATAAGTAATGTACATTCTTTTAAGATTTACCTGAGTCATGCTGGACAGGTTCACATATACCCTGAAATTCCATGATATAGGTACAAGTGCTAACGTAGCGAGCGGCAGGCAAGAGGCCGCCTCCCAAGATAGCAATTCAGCTTGGGTGGTGTCTGGACTTCAATTTTTAGTTTGTTTATTTGTCTTCTTAAAATGAACATGAACATCAAAAGATTCCACTCTGGCTTGGAAAAAGCCAGAAGATAAAGTGGCTGTTTGGCAGTTTATATTCTTTCTAGCAATTTTATGCTATGAATGGTTACCACCCACCAATTCCCACCACTCCCAGGAATAAGTCATTCCTGGAAGAAAATGGAGAACTGCTTCCTGCTGATGTTCCCTTTTCTCCTTTCTGTTCAAGCTGATCTAGCAAACAAAGAATTAAAATTTTAAAAATCTGCTTAGAAAGCATATGTTTTGAGGTCTCCTATGTTAAATGGGAGGGTTAGAAACTATTATTACTGACTCTTTAGATGTCAACAAATTGTTGAAAATTTTGTTAACTATACACAAACATGAAGAAGGCTCTTATTGGACAAAACTAAGTTTCTACTTAGAGAAATCTACTCCTCATTTACCACTTACATGTATTTTCTTTAATTCTCAAGCGAATCAAGATTGTGCTGTCCCTTGTGCTTTAGTTTCACTATTAGTGGCTTTTCATTTCTAAAAGATTTCATTTTCAAGAAATAACTGCCAACAGCCACCATGAGGAAAAAAGCTTGCTGTTGGTTTGTCTGATTTTTCTGGGCTAACCCACTAACACACTCCCAGTGAACTGGTTGAACTCATCATCAGAACCCGAGTCTCAAAGGGGGAGCCAGGGGGGTTATGCACAGATGGGGAAGAAGGGGTAAGCAGAAACAAAAACCTTTCCTGACTCTAATCTGCCTTCTAGAAATCTGAGGACAGAGGAAGTTAATGTCTTTGGTCTCTCTGGTTCAGATCACTTGAAGTGAGTTAACCACTTCAGAGATTCTGGGATGGCTAACAGCCCTGGTACGACCAAACCCTTCCACTGCCACCCTATTGAACTAGGGCCCCCACATACTGGAAGAGCTGAGCTATGGCTATCAGCATTTCAGAAGTTTCCTCTTCCTGGAGGAAACAAGTGTTCAGGGCTTGAGATACCAAAGCTCAGTCCCTAAGAAGGGGACGAAAAGGCAAGAAGTCTGATAAAGTAAATACAATAAAGAAGCCAAATGATAGTCATTCCCTGCTAGGCAGTTTTGTTAAGTGCACCTTCAGGTCTACAAAGACATTTCAGCACATTACAGTGCAAGGGAGGTGGGGGAAGAGCTTTGTCAAACGTTGCATGCCTATGCTACACAGATAATCCCTGTACACTGTTCTCACTGAATTCAATGCAATGAGCTAAGATGGATAAGCAGCATACATTTTTTCCCATACCACCCCAAATTCATAACAACAGCTCATCCCTAATCCCAGGCTGACAGGTTCACCACATGCAGCACTTTTCCCTGTAACACATGCAGAAGAATCAGCCAGTCCAAGGTATAACTGTGAGAGGTATACCAAGTAGCCAGAGACAGTCTCATGAGTCTTGGTCCCTTTTTCTCATCCTTAACCCATCCATTCCATAGTACTTAGTGGATTATTGCTGTTGACAGAATGCAGCGTTCTGAGTTCTGTTGTGTCCTAGACCTCAAAGTCAAAATAAAAATCAAGAGATCCCCAGGGATTGGGGAAGCAGTTGGCATTTCTTTTTCATCAACTGGGGGCTTTTAAGCAAAGACGAAAGAGATGGATAGTCAGGATGAGTTAAGGTTCAAATGCAGAGAATACATCACAGGGGAAGGTTTAATGCCCTGTAGTCAGAGGCTGTGTAGTTCTAGGCCCCTCATCTTCCAGGATGTGTGTTGTGTTCATCTTACAGGGAAATAAAAGTTGCACAGGGAAATCTAATATCCATATTCTTTCTTTCAATCGAGTCAGCCAGCCTGGGTGCCGCTCTGGTTTCTTGTTGATTGCCTCGCTGCTAGTCTGAGGACAGGATGGGGGGAAAAGGATAGAAGTCACAGGGAAGATTCCAGAAGAAGCTGGGCAGGAATGTAAGGCGGTCAGCAGCAGGCAGCCACATGCTAAGTGCAGAATGATGATTCCCCACTTTGGTGTCCTTATAAAGGCTGAGTGCCTCTCCACTGGTGGACAGCTGCCGGGCTCCAGAGGCCTATGTTAAGTGGCTCTCTGTCAGCTGGGCATGAGGTCCCCACTGTTCTTTTAGCTGGGTGACTGGGGCAGCAGAAGGTAGATGCTCAGCCTGTGAAAGTGACTGCCAGGTGGGATGATCAAAGGAGCATCACAGGAAACATCAAAAGAGGGTGGGTGGGTCAGGAGGGAAGGCCTAGGAAAGGTCCTGGTGAACCCAGTGTTCCACAGTGATGCCTGAAAAAAATCAGGCTATCAGAGATTTGCAAAGTGCTGTAGCTAACTGAGAAAGAGTAAGGAAATGTACCAGGAACACTACATTGGACCTAGGAAACTGCATGTCCGGAGAGGCCCTCCATAGGAAACAAATTTCCAAAGAGTTTATCTTGGCTTCTGGTGGAGAAGAGGGAAAAAAAAGTTCACGGTTCACGTCCGGTTCAAAGATGGGTCTCAGTTCCTGTCCAGAGTCAGGCTGCCAAAGGGGCCGAGTCCAGTGATGACCAGTGAGACAGCACTCTCCTGGATCTTTCCTCTCCAGAGTTTAGGGTAGCGCGGTCTTCTCACAGTGGTGAAGTGAGAGTGAGGATGGAAAAACAAAAACAAAACAAAACAAAACAAAAAGCAAAATATCTGTGCCCCAACCCCTCCTCCCTTCTGTTATGTAACTTCTCAGCTGTGTTATGGAGGCACTTTCTGCAGTTCACTGTGGGTACAGGATAAAGGCACTAAGCAACTATTAAATCAATTGGTTGAGTTTCTTCAGGGAGCCTCAAGGGGAGGGCTGAAGTCTCTGCAGACTTCAAATCATGACTGCAAAAAGAAATCAGCTCTGCTTTGGATGCATACAATAGATAAACATTATCATTTACATCCTAAGAATGCACCAAAAACATGCAATATTGCACCTTTTTTGTTTGTTTTTGTTTTGCTTGTGTTTATCTTCAGCTAGAAAGAATACTTGTTCTTAGGTATCACTATATATACCTTGATGACTTATTTTAGTTTTCCATATAGTTGCCCTTTAAAGGGATGGGCATATTGGTCCTCTCTCTGCCTACACCTACACAGAAACCTGACATTTCCCTGAGCAAAGGCAGGAAAATTGACTGAGTATCCCCCACCCCCACCCCCCATTATTTCTTTTGGGCCTTTCATCCCACAGACTTGTAATTTTTATTTTTTAAAATTTTTATTACTGAAATCATGCATTAACTAATTTAAGGTACATCTTAATCAAATAGGCCATAATGCTGAATAAGAGAACATGCTTTGAGCTCCGAAAAGTTGGTTGTTCCCATCTGACTAACATATGCACTTAAATACAGTACTTTATTTACTAATAAAATTGTTAATAAATGAAGGAGTGCACTTTTGGTGAATGCAAATGAAAAATAATCTATTTTTAGAAGAGTCAATTTCAACGTAAGCTTATTCCCTATCATCTGGGTTAACGTTCTTAGCATGCGATAATAAAATAAATGTTATCAGATTCAAACATGCTTACATTTAACTCCATTTGTGCTCTCTTGCAAAAAGGAGGCTAAAGTTTTATATCCAGTTCTGAAGGTCAGGGGTCAAGGTGCAGGACTGGTGAGAAATGACCTGTATTTGGCGCTCATCTGCACTTGAGAAAACTTAGCAGCACTGCAGATGAATCAATTAATTTAACTCAGTTATCCTTTTCTTAGAGAATAGTCTGGGTTAGAGGAAGAATGGGGCAGAGGGAAAATCCCTACCAATCAGGACCAGTATCAGATTTATAATAGGTGCTTTGTGAACCAGTCTTAAGTAGTTTTGGTTTTGTTCGCCTTGTAGTATGCAGTTCAGTCGACCAAAATAAAAACATTTGTTCTTTGCCCATGAGGCTGGTATGTCATGTTACATATAATACATCTGATGCACTGTCTTAAAAGTACTGTGCAGTTTGCAAAGATTTTATATTGGAGTCCCATGCAAGTTTTAATTTTATATTTCTAAGTGATCATCTGGTTTTTAATTTTAAAAAAAATTAAAGAAGCCAAAGAATTAGAAATGTTTCAGAATGGGAAAGCATATGAATCTTATTTTACCTGGACTAATTCATGAACTGAAATTTTAAAGCCAGTTTTAGAAAATATTCTTCCTTTTCCCATTTTTTAAATAAAATGAAAATAGGTTTCCCCCCTCCATGGGTCTTGAAAGCTTCAGTTCATCACGCCCAAAATCCACAATGCAACAATGCATTGACAATTAGAGCATTCAAAGACTATTCAGTAAAGTATCTACAAAGTGTGACAGAGTCACTAGGGTTTTGTTTTGTTTCTTTAAGTCTTTTGAGTGGGGCTTTTTTGTTGGCTGACTTTTTTGTTTGTTTGTTTGTTTAAACATCGGTCAGTAGCTTGCTCTTATTAACGCAGTTTTGATTAGCTGTGGTGCAATTGCCAGTTCTGATATTGGCCTGTCTATAGTGGGCTATGCTATTATTCATATCCTCTTCGATCTCCATGTACTCAGACTTGCTGATGGTGGAGGAACTGCGGCGACTGAGGTCACTGTCAGAGGCTAAGTTAGGGGAACTAACATGGAGCAACTGAGCCTGCTCTTCCCCCTCAGTTTCTCGGTGGTAGAAATAGTTGAAATTGGACACAATGACAGGTACGGGCAGGGCAATTGTCAGCACACCAGCGATGGCACACAAGGAGCCCACGATCTTGCCTCCAATTGTCACAGGGTACATGTCACCGTATCCTACAGTGGTCATGGACACCACCGCCCACCAGAAAGCATCGGGGATACTGGAGAAGTGCGACTCAGCTTCTTCCGCCTCGGCAAAGTACACTGCACTAGAAAACAATATGACCCCAATAAAGAGGAAAAAGATGAGCAGCCCTAGCTCTCTCATACTAGCTTTGAGGGTCTGGCCCAGGATTTGGAGGCCCTTAGAGTGACGGGAGAGTTTGAAGATTCTAAAAACCCTTACCAACCGGATGACCCTGAGGATGGCCAGCGAAGTGGCCTGCTCACCCTTCTGATTTCCCTCCTGCTCAGCTATCTCGGTACCTAGGGTGATGAAATAAGGGATGATGGCCACAATGTCGATGAAGTTCATGATGTTTTTAAAGAAGTCTGTCTTGCTGGGGCAGGCGAAGAAGCGCACCACCAGCTCAAAGGAGAACCAGATAATGCACAGGGTTTCTACGATGAAGAAGGGATCTGTGAAGATGTTGGAATTGTAGGTAACCGTGGTGTTGTCGATGCGGTGGATGGTGCCCGTGAAGTCCTTTTCATCCTTCAGCTCGGGGAGAGTCTCCAGGCAAAAGATGACAATGGAGATGAGGATGACCATGACCGAGACTATAGCGATGACCCGGGCTGGCCCCGAGCTCTCGGGATACTCAAAGAGCAGCCACACCTGGCGTTGATATTCCTTCTCGGGCAGGGGGCGCTCCTCTTCCTTGATGAAGCCCTCGTCCTCTCGGAACTTCTCCATAGCCTCCTCGCCCAACTCGTAAAATTTGATCTCCTCAGAGAACATGTCCAGGGGCACGTTGACTGGCCTCCGCAGGCGGCCCCCCGACTGGTAGTAGTACAGGATGGCATCGAAGCTGGGTCGGTTGCGGTCAAAGAAGTACTCGTTTCTCAGGGGGTCGAAGTAACGCATGCGTTTCTTCGGGTTGCCCAGCAGCGTGTTGGGAAACTGCGCCAAGGTCTTGAGCTGCGTCTCGAAGCGCAGCCCGGAGATGTTGATCACCACGCGTTCACAGCACTCGTGGTCATCGTGCTCGGCTTGCCGGGGATAGCTGCCATCCTGGGGGTGGCCCGGGGCGGCCGAAGCTTCGTCCACGTTGTCCCCCGACATCACCGTCATGGTGGAAGCCCGGCGCAGAGATGCGAGGCCAGCAGAGAGCCCGGGATGAGAAAGAGCGAGGGAAGAGGGGTGGGGGGGACCCAAGCGCCCCCCCCACCGGAGAGTGCGTCTCCCCCACGCTCAGGGGGAGGGGTTTCGAAGCCAGCAGGTCCGGAGATCCGCAACTTCACTTGCTATTACCTTCCCCTCCACCCTGCCTTGTACTCAATTTGGAATCCCCCTTTCCTGCGGGTCCCAGTGCAGCTTTTTTTTTTTTTTTTTTTTTTTTTTCAAGGGTTGGGTTTGGGGATTGCGCTCTGGTTTTGCTTGGGGTGAGCGGGGGTGGGGGGCGGGTGATTTTAGTATTTCTTCCTGATCCAAGGTGCCTTAACGCAGTGCTGTTCTAGCAGACCGGGCCATCGCTTCGGGGATTCGCCCTGGCCTCCCCTCCCCTCCGTGAGCCCTCCTAGGACCGGGTGCAGTGCCAGCTCAGCAGATCCCCACGCCTTCCACCCCCTCTGCTGCTCCTTGGCTCTACCCCCTCCTACCCCTCTTCGCCTGCCGCCTTCTAAGCTCCCACCAGGGCGATCGATGGACGCTGCAGAGAAATAGAAAGTGATACGGGGGTAGAAAATCAGAAGCATTCAGATGGGACGGACCTACAGACACCAAAGAGCACAGACTTCTAGCTTTTATAGAAAACACTGGACTTTTACTGGGGTTACCACATACACACAGACAGACACACACGCAGACACCCAGAAATCCAAGTTTGGGGCTCTTCCACCCCACTTTCCCCAATGCCCAACAGCCGATCTGTTTACAACTTCGTTAAACTGAAGATCGGGAAAGCTCTGAGAGACGCTGGGGGAGTTCAGGGTCCCCCGGCAGCATCCTCCGTATCCTCGCCCTCCCCCGCCCGGTCACCCCAACCCCCTCCTCTGCAGCCCGGAATTGGGGAGCCCCCTACCTGGCCGGCCGGCTTGGCGCAGGGGCGGTGCTGAGCCGGCGGAGAGCCCGAGTCGGAATGCGGCAGGTCGCCTTTGCAGTACCGGGGCGCGAGCAGTGGCGGTAGCTGCAGCAGCATCTGAGAGGTGCAGGGCAACTCGCCCCCTTGGTGGGTCCGCTGGTCCAGTGTCCCTCTCAGTTGGACAATCGCTTTACTGAGCAGCTACCGCGGAAATGTCCATCCTCTACCCCCATTCTCACCCAATGCCAGCAACCTGGAGATACTGTCCTGCCTCCCGTGCAGGGATTCCGGAGAATGCGGGGCTGAAAAGCAAAACTGCCACCCTCTCTTCAATCTCCGAAGCAAATGACGATAAACAGCACTCGCCCCCTCCTAACACTATGGGAGCCCTTGATTCGATCCCGAAGGAGGCGGGCGGGCAAAAGCCTGGATCTACATGGCTTTCCGGTCCCCTCTGCTCTCCGCACCACAGTGCGGACCTCTCCGAGGCTACACGACGCGCCAGGAGCCTTTAGGAGCTCCGAATGGGGCAGGGTGCGTGCGGCGGCGGGTCCGCTCGGTCCATTTCTGGGCGCTGCAAGATCAGCAGAAACCTGAGAAAGCGCCTGGAATGCGGAGCAGCGATTGGCCCACCCGGGCGTGGGTTGGGGAGGGCGGGGGAGGGCAGGAGCGAGGAGGTAGATGGAAAATATGAGGGGGTGGTTTGGCAGAGAGGGGGTTGTCATTCAGTTCCCACCCTTGCCAGCACAGCTCTTCCCTCACCTACCAGAAAAACCGACCACCGACTCTTACTTCCCTTGCGGCCCACAGCCCCACCCACGCAGGGCCCCTAGCCGCGCGCGACCTTCCCCGGGAATTTCACATTGGAAATGGTCAGGTCCGACGCAATGCAGGAGGTGGTGTTCCTGGCAAAACTCCTCTTATGGGTTTGCGTTTGTGCAGTCCCACAATAATCCACTTCCATCCTACTGCTCTATACGCCATCCCGCCCCTCCTCCAGGGGGCTCTCCGCTGGGCCCACTCGCTTCTCCCCGCCGGCCGAATTCAGAGATGTAGGTAGAGCTCTGCAGTTGAGGATCACTGGGTTTCTTCTGTGTAGTGTAACTGGAAGACAGTGGTGCTGAGTCGGTCCTTCTGTAACCTACCACGGGAGTTGAAGTTTCCTTACAATCAGATTATTTTGAAATATAGAGAATGTGACTTGTGGCGGACCGAAGGCTTCGTGGGTTTGTGGGGTTGTCTGCCAACTTGCTGCTAATTGGGACGAATCTGAGAAGCAAGTCGCCTACTCACCTCCCACCCTCCGTCCCGCCTCCCGCAGCCTCTTTCCCCGGCCTTCTGACTTCCACAGATTCACTTTCAAGGCTTGCAACTTATTCGGGAAAGGGTCCCCACAGAGGCGCTAGGCTGCGCGAATCGGGGGCGTGCGCGGCGTCCTGGGAGTGCGGCCGGAGCTGCGCCCCCAGAGGCGCAGCACTGGAGGAGGCAGTCAGTAGCTCTTACTTCAGCTGCTGCGGATTCTCTAAGGAGCCAGCAAAGAGCCAGAGTCGCTGTTGATTGGTTCTTCGCGCGGCCTTGGGAACACCCCTTCACACCACCACTGTTCACGTTGCCTACCGCCCACACCACCCACCTCTTTAATCAAAGCCAATGATTGCATCCTCCCCACACTACCCTGGCTAGTGGAAAGCAGGGGCCTCCAAGGGGTTACCCAGGCAGCACAAGAATCTCGGGTATGGAACTAGTTAAATCCCTCCTCCAGTTTCAGACTCCAGCATTCCTTTCAGAAAAATAAAAGTGTTTGTTCCCTCTCTCAGATTTTGTACCCCAGCTTTTCTTCTATGAACAATGAGTCGTCTTATAGAGTACTCCTCCTTCCGACATTAAACTTTGCCCTTTTCGCACCTTCCACACACATATTCCTCAATCTCACGCGGTAACTCCACTGATCCCTGTCTGCACTGCTGCTAAAAAAAAAAAAAAAAAAAAGACACACACACACACACACACACCAATCTCCCCCAAAACAGAGAAACCAGGCAGAAATGAACGTTGAAACTGCACTGAACAGTATGGTCAAGTCTCTTGATTTGTTGTTGTTTTGTTGGTGGTTTGTTGTTGTTGTTCCTGCTACCACTGCTGCTAGAATCCTAATGGACAAAACCCTAATAGACATAATAAACATTTTGTCACTATTCCCTATTCTTCTGTTTCTCTATCTCTGCTCTTGTTTCCCCTTCTTCCTGAGTAGCACCCTGCCCTCCTTTGAATGCCTCTAAATCTCCGAAGCTTGATGTGAATGCACTTATGCTTTGCTAAGGAGATTTGCAGACTGCATGGGATTCCAAGTTTCTAAATTCAGGATTTTATGGCAGGGAATGATAGGCTCAAGGGGTCTTCCAGATCTCTGGGGTGTTATTCCCCTTGGACACTTAAAGGGAATAAAGTTGTTAGGAACTCAGCATTTGTGATGCAAGCCCTCTCTCAATAAGGGTCTGAAGATATTCATTCCGCCCATATTTGTTCAGTCCCAGCTATATGGCAGGCATTGCTCTGACACCAGAGACCAGGAATAACTAAGACACAAGGTCTCAGACCTCATGGACCTCACATTCCAGTGAGAGATGTGGGCAATAAACAAATACTCCATGCATAATAGCTTCAGGAAAGGAAAATTAAGAAAAGGGGAGAATGACAAATACAAATTTATAGATAGGAAGGGCCTCCATACAAAGGTATCACTTGAACAGAAGACTTCAAGAAGAGAGACAGGGAAGAGCTGTAGCTCAGTGGTAAATTGTCTGCCTACCCTTTATGAGACCCTGAGTTCAATATTGAGCACCACCAGGAGATAGGGGATGAGAATGTGGGGTACAGGGTACACTCATACATTGTTGATGGGACTGATGGATTGTACTAATGTGCAACCAGTCTGGAAAGCAGTATAGAGATTTATCAAGACTAAGAATGGATCTACCATATCACCTAGCTATCCTATTTCTTGGTATTTATCCAAAACAAAATCAGCATACTATAATGATCTATGATCTGTGCCTACCAATGTTTATAGCAGCACAATTCTCAATAACCAGGTTATAGAATCAGCCTCGGTGTCCCTTAATAGAAGATTGCATAAAGAAAACGTTACACACACACACACACACACACAAAAAAAATAGAGTTTTACTCAACCATAAAGAAAAATGAAATTATTTCATTTGTGTAACTAGATGGAACTAGAAAACATCATACTGAGTGAAATAAGCCAGACACAGAAAGTCAAGGGTTAAATATTTTCTCTTATATGTGGAAGCTAGAGAGTAATAAGGAAATTTTTTAAAAGAGCAGGGAGGGATCTCACGAAAATAGAAGGGAAAACAGTGGAGGAGAGGAAGGGGAGTTAAGGGGAGGGAGAAGGGATAGGAAAGGGGAGGAACATCATGTTCACGCATGAACACATCCTCATGTATGAACACATCATGTATGAAAACACACGTTTTCCACTTTTATATCTAACATACCAATTAAAAATTAATCAGCAAAAAACGAGAGTGAGGAACAGCAAGATCAAACCTAAAGATGTAAGAGTAAGGCAAAGACAAGTTTAATATATTGGGAAAATAAAATAAGGCCAGTATGGATAGAAAGAAGAAACCAATAGAGGGCAAGTCAGAAGGGTAGATGGGCGATAGATAGGCAGGCCTCAGAATATTTCTCTTTATTCTGAGTGCAGTGGGAAGATGTTGAAGGGCTTGCATCACTGTGGTAACATGGCTTGGATATTTTAAAGATTACTGTGGCTACAAAGAGCAAGACACATGGTTGAAGGCTGTTAAGTGGCATAAGCAATGACAACTTAGTCTAGGAAGATAGTGGTGAGCTTGCAAAGAGTGGTTAGAATAGGACTACAGTTACTAACAGAGATGGCAGAAATGAAAAGAGGAAGAGAAGAAATGTTAACATGAAAATGCAAGAATGTCTCTTAGGCTTGTAGACTTAGACCAGATGGATGGTGGTGTCATATACTGCAGGTGTATATTGGACCACCTCTCCTGCCTGAATGTGGACTGCATGAAGTCTGGGAGCTTGTGTGTCTTGGTTATCACTGCACTGGGCAATTTAAGTCTCTCCCCCAGACTCTCCACTTTACCTTTCTTCCTGCCCTGTATCTGCTTGCCCTTCCACAGGTGCTGAAAAGCCAACTCTGTGGGCAGCTGAGTTCTGCCTCCTGGGTTGACTACACTGCAGCAAGTGGAATCTGAATTCCTCAAGTCTGTGAAAAGACCCGGGTGAGCAACACAGCGATCTAAAGGTATAGTATTAGCTCAGTGGACCAGTAGCAGCTCACCCAGTGGGCAATACAAGGTAGGATGGAGCCAGTAGGCAAATCCCCTCTACCTTTCCCCTTTCATGGCTAATCAACCAAGCACATGACCTAGTGACAGGCTGTGTCTCTGTGAGCTCCTGAAGCAGTGACCTGCTTCATGACTTGTCACCTTGTATTTGCATCTTATTCTCCTCTGTCTTGCTTTCCCTTTCCTTTATTCTTACTGCTTTGAGTTCATACCTCTCACTAAAGCATTAGCTCCAGAGTACTGTCTCAGGTTTTGTTTTCCAGGGAACCTGAACTGAGGCAGGGAAATAAAAACTTCATTTTGGGACCTGTTAAATTTGAGAGATCTACTTAATATCAAATAAGGATATTGAACATGAAATACTCTAGAGTTCAGAGAAAAAGTCTGAGTAAATCAAGATTTTTCATCCTTAGCACTATTGACATTTGGGCCAGATCCTTTTTTGTTCTTATTGCTGTGGAGGGCTATCCTGTGGATTTTAGGATGTTCATCAGCATCCCTGAATTCTACCCACTAGATGCTGGTAGCACCTGTCCTCAGTTGCTGCTGCAGTCTGGCTGCAGCAAAATAACCAGGGGGGGGGGGGTGACGAACCACTTGTGTACATTGATACAGCAGGAGAGGGAGCCGTTTATTGTAGGACAGGAGGGGTATATATACATTCCACACAGCTTATCTAATTAACATAAACTCCATACAGCAGTCAACCAATAAGGAATCTCCACACTTAATGGCTCGCTGGCGTTACTTCACAAACCACTCCCTCTGGCAAAATGCCAGGAGCCATCCAGACTTGTTTACAGACCTTAACAAGTTGCAACAACCAAAAATATCTCCAGCCACTGCCAAAGTCACCCTCAGGTGAGATCCACTGGGATAGATGTTAATTAAAGCCAGAATACTGGATGAGAGCACTTGAACATAAGGGTAGAGAGAGAAGAGGAAATGTGCAAATATTGTGCTCTAGATGCTGTAATGCTAAGAGGTCAAGAAAAGAAGGACTGGAGAGTGTGGTGGCTGTAAAAACAAATGAAAACTGTGTCAAGAGGGCAAGATCAACTTTGCTGCCTACAGCTAGTATGATAAGAAGAACGAGAAACTGAGAATTGACTATCAGACTAGGGAAAATGGAGTTGAAAAGAAATTGAGGGAGAACTGATGATATTGGGTAAAAACAACTCTTGAAGTTTTGGGTGTCAAGGGGAGCAGATGACTAGAGTTTTAGGCTGAAGGAAGATGAAGGGTGAAAGACTTCTTTAAGATGAGAGCTCTGACAATACACACACACACACACACACACACACACACACACATATATATATATATATATATATTTAAAGATAGAGAAGAGAGAGAATTTTTTAATATTTATTTTTTAATTTTCGGGGGACACAACATCTTTATTTTTATGTAGTGCTGAGGATCAAACCCAGTGCCCTGCGTATGCCAGGCAAGCGCGTTACTGCTTAAGCCACATCCCCAGCCCCAATATATTTTTATGTTAATGGAGAGGATAGAAAGGAAAAATTTTTGGTGCAGTAGAAAGAGGAAAATGATAGGGACATTCTTGAGAAGGCAAAAGGAGAATGAGATCTGAGACCCCAAAAAATGGATTGGCCTTGGATAAGGACAGTTTTTCTATAGGAGAGGAAAGGGCAGAGAAAGCACAGGGACAGATACAGGTAGCTGAATAGATGTATCTGATTTGTGGACATCACTTATGCCATCAGAAGAAATTTTCTCAAGAGAGATCATCAGTTAAAACTGAGGGTGGGTAAAGAAGTCTTGGAAATTGGAGATGAAAACTGTGAAATAACCAACTAGGAGAAGAGCAAAGCAAAGAGATTAGGAATGCAGCCCAGCAGGATCAAGGACTCACTCTTGCTAAGGGACCATGCTTTTAAGCAATCAGACC